TGTTACATCTTGTAACCATAAATTGAACTGGTTAGCAAGAAGTTCTGAACTCAACAATTCTTTGTCATACACAATTTTTTTCCGGCTTCGGACACATAACATAATATTAAAAAAAACATCTAGGTACTTTGTTAAGGAAATCAACATTATCAACTTTATAAAGTATTTTCGAATAAAAGTTATCGTGCTCGGTGTACCTACGGCAAAAGGCTTCACTTAAACGGGAAGCGGAAAATGTATACCAAACATGCCGAATAAGAATACATTAGTTACTTCGGTACATAATGTACCTAAAGGTCATAACTCACCGGGACGTCAGGGGCCAGCGACGTCGCCAACTACTTAGTTTGTATTGAGATGTACGTCGCCAGTCAGTCTCCAAGTGAGTTAGCCGAGATAACCAAACCGCGTCAACCAAATGTTCACATTTTTTTTGGTTTCCTTTGCGTTCACACAATAAAAAAGTATAGTTTTTACTGCAAATTACGATTTCCTTGTAACTACGTAGATTTGCTAAAATGCTTGATGCTTTTTTGCTTCCACGCTAGTTAACAACTCTACATTCCGGGGATATTTTGACTGATAAGTCGTTGATTAAAATGGGTAAATAATTTGCAGTCATAACTATGATCATTTATATGTAACCTACTACTTCTAAAGGTTCATTGCATCTTTCATTAGCAATAATATGATAGACTAGCTACTTCTGCGCGTTTGCAACCGCTCTCCTCGACTCCTATCGGTCGTGGCATGATGTTTTATTGCCATCTGTACGTATAGTTAGCGACGATACTAGTCATACGAAATAGATAGCGACGGTCGCTGTCCACGAAGCCATGGCGTCCAAGTGAGCTATGGCCCTAACAGGCTAGCATAGCAATTCGCCTGTGGGAGGTGTAGAAACGACAAGGTATTTGTAATGTTTTGTAATTGAAAAAAAAAATGTATGAATCGGCAGCTAATTCTATTTAAGATTGATAAGGTTCGATAACTCGTTACAACGACACGGTATGACTAATTATTGTAGTGGTCATATTCCCAAATATTTCAGAGTGGAAAAGTATACCATTATATTATAAACGGAAATGAAATGTATTTCAACGGTACAAGGTTATATTATCGTGTGCTAAAAAATAAATGAAATATGTTTGTTATAGGATTCAGCTACTGGTTTCCGCAAGAAGGTACTAAGTAATAGTAAATTATAGACAATAATAAAATATCTTGGAATTATGCCCAAAATCGAAGGTTTTGGATTCCAAATTAGAGTCTCGGCCATGTTGGTACGACTAGCGGCTCATTTGCGTCTTGCGATGAGCGGTTTTTTCACTCATCGCAGACGCAAGACGCATCGCGCAAGCGTGGCCTGCGACTGAGAAAGGAGTTGCCTCGTTTTTTTTTCTTTCATATCTTGTGTAGTTTCGGTTAGGCCACCAGTCCAATGCTAATCAACTATACCGAATATAGCAAATAATTAAATAGTTAGCTAGTTAATAAAACTCACCTGGATCATTGTGTGAGTGTGGAACTATAAAAACTTTCAACTTATTCTTTTGGTTCCACTGACTTTTCTCATAATCTATTTCCCAGCCTTGCTTCCACACGCCACCGTCCAAATCATCGAACAAGATCCGCTCATACATTGACAGCATCTATGAAATAAAATTATGTACAACCGAAGATATAAAAATATGTTTACTGTTTTGCATTTTAATGATATGACACAGTGCAGATTACAATGCGCCTCCCTATGGCTTTCCATAAGGTAGTACAACTCTTAACCCCTTTAGATATCAAGCCGGTATTAAACGCCCCTACCTGAAATGATCTGTAGATACGGCTAATAGTGCCCATCGTCAGAGGTGAGTAAACCAATAATGCAGAGTGTGTAAGGTATGTACGGTCAAAGGTCAAAAGTCCACTGCCACCGTAAGACTACTATCGGTTGCGCTGCAGCGCTTATACACACATGCACACGCATGCATATTTACGCATTGCCGTGTGAACATCACTCACGATGGCAGTGGACTTTTGACCTTTGACTGTACATGGGCGTCAGGATGCGTTGGGCAACCTGGTGAACCTGGCGCCAGCATGTGTTAGGTAACCTATCAACGACAAGTACCAATGTAACTTTTCCGAGTTACATGTACTTTCTGACAACATCGGAAGGAAACCTGGACTTATAATTTCTAATTGAGCAGGCGTGATGATTAATGGTCAAACCGTCTCCGTGTAAGAAGAGGCTTTGTTCAGTAGTGGACACTTATATGCTGTTGATGTAAGTCATCTATTTTGGGTGTGCATTATTTGAGCTCTTACGACTCTCGACTTTGTCGCGTGCTCGTTCAATGAGTATTAAAGGATTCAAAAACCTCATAGAGACATGGACAGTAAAAGACAATTACTAAAAAGAAAAATGTCCTAATTTTTAATTATTTAATATAAAGATATAATATGATAACATCCAGTGGTCTTTTCATATCATCAATGTGATAAGATAACTGTAGATTATTTAAATCAATCGATTCGTAAACGATTCTGATTATCAGTGCAGACAGCCTATATGTAGCAATTTATATTGATATATTTATCTGTTAAACAGTTATTAATATTAAATTTAGGTGTAACTTTCCTACTTCAAATCAAACCAAAATACAAGTACATTTTATGCCTTGTTGGAGTTGACGACCTCTCTTTTTTATTGATAAAGAAGGAAAAAGATAGCAGTCTAACTAATTTGAAATTAACTAGTATTTAGGAGGCACTTATTCCGTGTACTCAGTCACATATCTTGTTAATCACCTTTTGTTTAGTAAACTTAATCCTAGCCAGTCTATTGTGACAATTATGTCAGCATGTTTATTACTGCTAGTAAAAGTATGAACTAATCTGTGGACAATTAAGTCATAATGCTAGTGCAAAAGAAACCTTTTACATATTAGCAAAAAGTCTATATTAAACCAAGGATACACTTGGGAACAAAATGTCCTGCGACATGCGTCGCCAGCGACGTTGGGAGAAGTAGTGCGACGTTGCCGGACTTTGGTTGATATGTACTGCAACATCAACGTCACAGTGGCCATAAGTCGCGCGTTGCCACCATATATGTTGAAATCAGCCGGCATCGTTTGACATGTCGCCGATACATGACATTAATTGTCCCCTAGTGTATCTTTGGCTTTACTTGATTATTCTAAGACACTGTTTTGGCATTTCTGGCCAAGTTTCCATTACTAAAGATTTAACCTCTTATCTGCCGGTATATGCCACACAATTGAAAACACATTGTGTCTTGCATAGATGTGTATTCCAGCATACCACGAGATAATGGATAAATACTGATGTTTCCATAACATTTTAGGGAACAGAGAGTAAAGTTCCCTGAGATCGGAAAAGGAGGATCCTCCGGCCAGGCGAGGTGATCGTGACTGGCGGGCTTTCTGCCTAACAGTTGTTCGTTGGGATTTTGATGATGATGATGATGATGAGCGATGTAGGATTTTGTGAAGTCATCCGTTAAAATGTTTTCATCGATAGTCTATGTGCGTGAACTATCATGCTGTCATTTGACATGTGTCGCCACAACATGAAATTTGTGAAAACATGAGTCAAGTTACCAGAATCATAATTGTGATAAAAAAAGTCTAAAGCAAAAAACCAATACCTGTATATCAACTTTAGCCGAACTTCTTTTCGTTGCAGGACATGCGGAGATGTTGAATGGAATCCTCATCTTTGGTGGTTCGTCACCAACTGCTTTGTACTCTTTAACCTCCTTGATTTCTCTAGGAGGTTCCTTGATAACAACCTCCTTCGGTCTCTTTTGAGGTGGATGGTACTCTTGGGACTCCACAATCTGATCCACAGCAGATTTAATCTCACCAACAACTGCATGATGCTGGTATAGTTCATTCTCTATGTGCCGAAGCTTGTTTTCAAAAGAAGACCATTTTGTCTGAAAATTCTGTTTCAATTAAAACCCAAATTATTAGGCAGTAATTTTAGCATATTAAATGCCACGGGGGTGACCGGTGACTGATGTTAGTGGAGGATTTGCATTCAACAGTTTTTTTATTGGCAGTCAAATCCTTAGTAGAATTTCTCAATTCAGCTGTATGTTTGTTTCTTTACTGGCAAACAAGGTCTATTAATAAATATTAAATAAAATAATAACACATACTTAGTCTGAAAGGACTTGTGACTGGTGTTTGAATATAGACTCTCACCTTATACTTATAAAATGCAATTTACAACATAAATAAAGAAGAAAAAGCCTAATATTTCTTGCATATAATATAACTTTTGAACAAAATTTTCTTACTAATATTATAAAATAATGTAAAAGTTTGTGTGTATGTTTGTTTTGTTACTCGATCATGTCAAAATAGCCGAAAGGATAAGCTAACGGAACTAAGAGTTTTAATTATAATCTAGAATAATACATAGGCTACTTTTTATACCATGGTATTAAATACAAAGTCGCTAGCAGAAACTAGTTTGCTACAAATTGATTTATAAAATAACTGGTGAACAGTGGTGAACAGTAGACATTGCATTGTCATGTGTATTACTCCACGATTACCTAATTCTGTGGGGATTAAACTTTAACATAACATCTTGAAAGCAAGTTAAAGCAATTTTAAATCCATGTAGAGTACCAAATTTCATTTATTGAGATATTACTAAGGTGCTAAGGAAATATATTTATTATTTCTGGTACTTACTTCCAAATCTTGCACTGCTGGTTTAGTGCTCGGCAACTTGAAACTCAAGTCAGTCACCACATACAATATAAACACGAACGCAATAATGCATGTTGTCCAAAACACAGCTGACAATCTCCTAATCCTCATTCTGAAATCTATTAGAAAAAAGAAAAGATTCTTAACGCGTTCCAACATTTCAAAGACTTTGAAACAATGAATTAAATCGGTTTCATAATAAGCAGAACTGAAGTGTTTGTTATTGAAAAGCCGGTTTACGTGTAATAAAATACTACAAGCAAAACATAAAACCGAAATATGTACACTACGTACATACACATATACCGAAAAGGCGTCTACGTAATTTACTGGCTTCAAAAAACGCCGGTGAGCTATGCTTAATTTCCCTACGTCTCTAGCAAGTTCATTGTTTTAACTACCTTGATAACACGAGTTTAATTACGCTGGTATTAATTGAGTACTCGCACACATTTCTTTATTAGCTTATACAAATAACGCAGGATCTGCTGGTCCTACTGCTATTTATTAATTTGTTATGGATTCATTTGACATTGACGTTTAATGCTGACGTTTCATTTCATCCATATCCGTAGAGATTCACTGTCCAGTCGTCTAGATATTGAATACAGAAAACCCATAAGGAGTAGTTTAGACTATCTTGTGTCAATAATCATGATACAGTCAGTCAGCTACAATGCTTAATGCCACAAAAATGTCCACAGCGGAACATAAGCTTTCCCATTGACTACTTTCTTGGTAAGTCAATGACATGCATGGCTTCTTCTCTTCTTATAGCTTTAGTCGAACAAATCGATCAATCGGTTTGGTCCCACATTTCTATAAACAAAATGACAACACTCTAAGTGTCATCTGTGTGTCACATTCACTCGTACTGTCAATACACTGTCATGTCATATACGTCACAATCATAAAAAAAAACAACAATAAAAATGGACTTTCGTTGGTAGTGGTGAAGGTTACGCACGTGCTTTTGTCATTCCTACGTTTGTTTTCAATTTAAGTGAGATAATTCACAGTGATTGGAATTGAAATCTTTTAAATTTTGTGTTGTCGTGTTGGTTAAGTGTGTGTGTGTAAGTTTTTAACAGGTATTGGTGTAATTCTAAGAAAAATTTTAATCTATTCCTCTGCCCACATCTCCTTAATCAGAAATGGATGAGGTGAAGCCACCAGACCCTCCCGATCCCGATAAATCCCCGGAATATGAGACGGAAACCATTCTGACAATCACTCTTCCTCCCGACACCCCGGATATCGAATTAATGGATTCAGAAGTTCCCAAAAACCGAAAACGACCTGCAGGCTCCCCTCCTATCACCCAGAACAACCCTCCGAAATTGGCGAAAAGTATAAACGGTCGACAATGTTATACGGCCAGGGATAATCCCCCTTACGTAGTTTA